CTTATTTATAAACAAAAAACGTGTATTACAACTGATAAACAAGTTTAGAACCAATCAACAATGGATCTGAATACGGCCAATTTGGCTCACATCAGTACAAAATGAGTGATGGTCGATTATTACCAGTTTAACTATTATACATGTCATAATGTCATATAATTATTGTTTACCCAATCACAACTAAATAACTAAATTCACGCTGCGGGCACAATCATGTGTTACTGTATCCAACATGTCCTTTAAATGTTATCTTTGCTAAAAACCTACTTCACCAGCTTACTTTTGAGCAGTTTGTATCTTATTAATGTCTTTCCTAAGAAAGTATTTGTTCATTTATTTCAAAATGAACCTTCTTTAAGGTATAATTCAGCACTATGAAAATATCGTTATACATTTAAAGGTGAGGCAGGAGAAAAACAAAAATAACAGGATATGTACTATTTGTGAATAGTGAAGAAATTTATGAAGTTTTTTTCAGTTAGGCACAAACAGAATGAATTGGTTGAATCTTTCAGTGTGAGACAGTTATCTGCACATTTACAACAGTTTTAGGAGAGTTTATTAATGGGTAAAGTTCAGAATTCTGCATACAAATTTTTTATAATTTTGAAGAATTAATATTTTAATTTTTTTTCTTTTTTAGAAATGAAGTAACAAATGAAAATCACACTTCTGCTCACTCTGCAATACCTACAATCGCAATATAGATTTATTTTACCACGCTCCCCCTTCAAGAATTAAATCAAAGATATATATATTGTAATATAAGATTTCAATAGGAATATTAAAAGATTTGATGATTTTAAAATACTAACATATTGTAAACAACATGTTTGATAGAATTTCGTAATAATGCTGAATGCAAACATTTTTGTTGATGAATGTAATGAATGTCAACTTTGCCATTAAAATTTTTCTTCTAAAAACAAACTTTTAATACGTAAAGAAATAAATGCTGCAATAACAAAGTTATACCCTACTATACTTCTCTTCTTTTGCCTTACTATTAGAATTAAATGAAAACACGCAAAATTTTCAGTATGGAACTGCAACTTGTACATTTATTACTAATTCTGAAGTTAATAAATTTATTTAATGTTGCAGCAATAAACTATCAAATGCATTGCGGAAAAAAAAAATAAAATAAAATAAAATTTAATGTCTGAATGGGTCGGATCAGGTTGGGTAATTGACTTGATTCGACCAAAGGCAAGTCATGAATTTGATAACCTGACCCAAATATCACATGTCGGTTCAGGTACCTGATCTGACCTGTTGACCTGATATATCTTGGGTCAAAAAAACGTTTTGGCGTTTTTTATATATCAAATCCACTCTCGAACTCACTGACCGACGGATGACTCAGATAGAATCTCATTTAGGTCTTTCACCCATTCCTGCTCCTAGTGATCCTGATCTGGATCTCATGCAAGATGATGCTCCTATTTCCCATGTTCCGCTCAACATCCAACCTTCTGCTAAATCTTCCTTACCACCCAAAAGTATCTTAACGTGACCCCAACTTCCTCCCCTAGTGCTCCACCATTTACACTTATCTCCTCCATGCAAGAAGAAATTAACGATCTCAAAAATAGCAGTCGTTATTGAAAGTAAATTGGATATGCTTACTGGTCATATCTAAGGTTGCTTGTCTAAACCTCTTCAGAATCCTACGATTAGTTTTGTCAAAATTTTACTATAGATTTATTATAGTTTCAGCAGAGTTTTAGCAGTTTCGGCATTTATAATAAGTTTCGGCAGTTTCACATTTCTCCAAAGTTTTGCCAGTTTTTTAATATAACTTTAATATAGTTTTGGCAGAATTTCACTTTTCAGCGAAATGCCATCTTGCCTAAACCCATAGGTTTCGGCAAGTAACCTTAGTCACATCCAACAATTCATCAGCTCCATTAGTGGCACTTCCTCAGAATAAGCTGATTCAGCTTCCTATGTTTAAATTTCTTCTTCTCATTTTATCTCCCCAACTGTATATATCATTGTGTTCTAATGTCGGACAATAATTTTGTTATTCACATGAATCTATGTTCTCCTCTTCCTATCCCTAATTCTTTTAATATTTCTTCCTTTGATGTCAATGGCCTTAAAATGAATGGTCAGACAAAAATTGAACAAATTTCTTTTAAACACATTTCCTTTGGTGGCATTGTTTATACTCATCTCCACCCTAAACAAATGAAATTTTTATCAAAACGTATTTCGGATTATACTGTTTTCTCTTCAGATCTGGATACTTCTAAACAAATCCTTTCTTCTGGTGGTATTTCTCTTTTCATCGCCAATTCCTTTGCTTCTCATGTACAAGATTTTGTTTCCCATTCCTCGCATTTGCTTTCTGTTGATTTATATTTTAAAGGCAATGTGAAATTACGCATATTTGTTGTTTATATTCCCCTCCTGCTGATGGTACTTTGCGCTCTGACACTATTGATTTGCCTCTCCAACAACTTATTTCTTCCAAACAAGCTGGTTTTTATCATCGATTTCAATATGCATTTAGACAAATTTTATCCATTTATTATATCATCTCCTCTCTCATGGTTATAAAGATTATACTTCTGTTAACCTTTCTGACTCTTTAGGCACCTTTCATCATAATGATCAAATTACTCGTATCGACTATGTATGGTCTTGCCCTCCTCAAAGGCTTTGCTCTTACCTCTTGCATCTTCAATGGATAATATTCCCGATGATGAACTGAGTCAAAAAAATGCATTTTCATTGGTACTAAAGTATTCAATACTTTCAACTAAAAATTCGATATTTGAGATATGTTCAGAAATTATTGACAACTTTCAAGGGGAAAAAGAGTTGGCACAGAACCAGGGGAAAGATATATGGAAGAATTCATAGACTATTATTATGTGCAAGATGAGCAAAATACGCATGATGAAGAAGAAGTTACTGTCGAACAATTTAATGAAAACTATCAAAACCTCATGCCATCTACCAAGAGTCAGCTAAATAGATTAAAAAATGAATTGGCTATAACACTCTGTAAAAAATGTTTAATGCCAACAAGAAATCAGGAATGTGACTGCTGGATTTTACAAATAGAGGAATACTAATTCTTCTCAAAATTATTTTTTACATCTGGGAAGGAGAATTGCGCACCAGATCATTCCACATAGTTCTAAAAATATCTTGAATAAAATCATAAACCATAATCATGGATAATTCGGCCTTAAATCTGAACATATTAACCTTACCTGATTTAGGCCAAATATGTACCCGAATCTTCGATGTGAAGATTATAGCAATTTTAGAATGAACATCACCCACATCATGCTTAATATACTTAATGGAAAATGGTAATTTCTCTTGAATACCATTATTAGATTCCAAAATATAAGCTAATGAGGTAAGATCAATAAACTTATTATCACCAATATTAACCGCAAATCTGTAATTAAGCAGAAGAGGCTTACTTCCTCCCACAAGTTCAACAGAAGAAAACTTGGGTAACGAACATTTAGCAAGATAATGTAAGAAGATATCAACAGGTTCAAGAGATCCAAATACTTGTATACTGCCAGATCTGGGGAAGTATCGGATAACCTTTGTATTCTCAAATTCATCCGCAATAATTATAAACTCAATACAAGCATTAAAAGTACTACCATCACCAGCACGTTTCCGTCTTCTAAATGGATTATCAGGAGTACTCCGTCGGCATCATTTTTTACCTTTAGGTTTAGTTAAGAATTGCTCATAACCCTCAAAAGCTTTATGAGTAAAATTGCTATTAATAGCAATTACATCCTTGGTAGGTTCTAGTCTCCCGCCAAGTTCAATATAATCAAGACCCAAAATATTAATTTTCAACTCTGTAAAATTAAGGGATGGAACAAGTTCACTAACACACTGATCCATTTTTTTATATAGGAAAAAGAAAGATTCAAATGGAAAAACAAATTGAAGATTTTGCATCCATCAAATGGGAAAAACAAATTGAAGATTTCTCCCCCATCAATAGAAAATCCCAATTGAACATATCTCGCACATCAATATCTCATGCAGGATATAATGGAAATTAATAGTTTACCCATCGAACTTTTGGAAAAGATAATCAAATCTGCATCTGAAGGTAAATACAAGCAAGATCTTTGAGAATATGCATTAGTATGCAGAACATGGGCTGTAATAGCAAATTCTCTTCTATGGGTAAAGTAGATCTTTACAGCCATTCTCATAGAAAGGAGTTCCGGATGTATAAACATCTTACAATATTGGGAACAGTATGTGGGAAATATATCCAAAAACTCAAAATGGATGAGGCAAGATTATGGCCTATCTGTATTGTAAAGATATTGCGTGCTTGCCCAAATATTCAGGAACTTAGCATGGCAAGTTACCATTATTATGACGAAAGAGGTGATGTCAGAGATTTGCTAAGTAATATCTCACATTTATTGCCAAATCTTCAAAAGCTAGATATTAGATTTAGCCAAGATTATTTTGATAAAAATAACAGTATTGAGAAGCTTATAGAAAGTAATAAAAATTTGCAGATTACAGCTACACGTAGATGCAAAAAGAATAATAATTATATCGAACATTATCAAGATAGGAAATGGCTAGATTGTCGTATTTGCAAAACTGGAAGATATTCTGAATAGTTAGCCATACTTCGGGATAAAGAAATCCAAATTTTATTATCTGTAATCTGCAACTAAAGCTCTCCATAAGCTGGCTTGCAAGTTGAGCAGGGATCTTTCCATCAAATTTTGCCACGTGTTTCTTCTCTGATCAAGGTACCTACATCTCTCGGCAGGATGCTTTGAGCTTGCAAGCTTAGTTGAAAGGGAGTTTTATCCACAACCATCTGGATAGAAAATTTTATTTTTTACTATCTGTAATTCACAGCTATCAGGATAAAAAAAAATCCCAATTTTTTACTATCCATATTCCACGACCATTCACATTCATGCAAAATGGGAAAAAGTAATTGAATAAAGCTAGTCTTCCATGTAGCAATAATAATGCAACGACTACCGGTAGAAGTAGCTGAACGAATTATTACCAATCTTTCAGATAAAGACCTATTTATTGGAAGTTCAGTATGCCGAGTGTGGTGGCAAATTGTTCGTCAAGAAGCATATAAGAGGTGGAAGAAATATGCTTGCAGGATTGGAGATATATATAAGGAAATCCAAGCTATAAGAGAGCGGGAACAGAAAGAAGAAATCGAGTGGCAAGAGGCTAGTTATGCAGTAGAAAAACTTAATAACTGTATGGGCACCTTTACTGGAAATCAGGTGTATATCATAAATAAGATGCTTAAATATGAGATGATTGTAGATCCCCAGGAAAGGGAAATTATCAAATATACATCAAGTGAATTTAACTGGGGAGGAGATCCTTGGAGATTTGACTGGGAGTGGAATGAGTGGACTCAACAGGAATAATGAAATCCGCTGCCTGATATTACCAAAAAATTTGGGCACTACCCGTCACTATCCGGCACTGCCTGGCACTGCCAAAAAAATTTGGGCACTACCTGTCACTGCCTGGCACTACCCATTACTACCCGTCACTGCCAACACTGCTTAGCACTGCCAAAAAAATTTGGGCACTACCCATCACTGCATGGCGCTGCCAAAGAAGTTTGTGAAATATACGGATTTTTCCTAGTAAGATGGCGCTTTAATTTAAAGGGAAAATCAAAAGATGTCCCACATAAATAGCAGACTAATTTGTTTCGAGGATGTGAATTTTTTTTAAGTCAATAGTATCTATTTGCAAGGAAGTTACATTAGTTTTCCGCTTATGCAGGGAAATCGGAATAGTGATTTTTTTGTGTAATGATAAAGGGATGGTTAGCTGCCGATTTTGGAAATCTAGAATAACATTAGCACGATCAATCCAAGGTACACCTAGCAATAAAAAGTCCTTGTCACTCTTAACAACCATAAAGTCATCTTTGATCTTTTTAGAATTTTCTCCATCATACACAAGAATACCAAGGCCATATACTGTCCCAATAGTATCGGATTTTATCACAACACTGCTACATTACTTCTATCCACATCAAGATTTAGGTGCTTTACAATATTATTGGATATTAGAGAGCTATCAGAACCAGTATCAAAAATCGTTGTGGGGATAACTAAAGATTTCTCACTTTCAGGCGCTACTACCTTAGTTTTAATAGTAACTACATCACTAGCAGATTTGCGGTTAAAAAACCAAAAACTATCAGTGCACATACTATCCTCATTTTTACGGATTAAATTCGCAGCCATATTACTGGATACAATCCCGATCATCGGCTGTAAAATAGCGGTGAAAGTTCTTTGATACTATCCCAAATTTTTTCTCATGTCTTTATCGAAGGTGATCCCTTAAGTTGGTTAAGTATTGGTTCTTTATAATTGATAAATTCTGCATTTAAAGCATTATATACAGATATAATAATCTCTTTTGGTACAGCATTAATGAAAGATTGAACTAAGGCCTTTAAAAGTAATTGGAAAACCTCAAAGATAATACGTTGCCTTTTAAGTCATGATTTCATCTTACCTCCTTCTTTCTTATCCACACACCTTCCTTCTGCACTCTTTTTTTTAATCCATAACAAGTATGCCGGGATGCAGAATAAGAATCAGAATCTGAATCACTGTCAGTGGAGTCAGATGAATCGGCAGAATCAAAAGAATCATGTACGTTAGATTTTGGACATGAACTTTTAGTATGGCCAGATTTTCCGCAACTTGAATATTTTTTTGATTTTGACCTGCGTAATACCAAATACCTGATTGCCATGGTAAGCATGATTAGGAGGTAAATTTTTATTAAGTTCTGTATCAATGAATGCTTCAAGATCTTCAATGGATATTTTACTTATATCAATATCTCTCAGAAGACCTAATTTGTATCCTAGAGCGACTAATCTCTGAAATGATACATCTTTTTGAAAACTTGAAAAGGGGCTAGATGATAGTACTGCCGCTAATGGTGGCACTGCAGATGGCGCGATCACAGGAATTTTAGAATTTATAAGATTCTCAATATCTGCTAAAGTTGGACCCTGGTATGTAACTATAGGAGTATGTGTGGAGATAGAAGCGGGTGCTGTATCTGTCTTGTATCTCTCAATTTCTTCCAATTTATTTAGGATAAATGCAACAGAATTTTCCAAACCAATACGTCGTGTTTCCATCTGATTTTCACTAGAAAGGCCATTTAAGAACTGTTGTCATACTAATTGAGTTGGACAATAGCATGAAACGTAAGTTTAGACTTTTCAGATGTTATAGTAGGGAAGTAATGCTTAAAATGATATATTAATTGTCCAATACGTATTCCAGGAGCCACAATTGTACCTCCATTATTAGCATTAGGATTACTAGCAGCTAAATCAGTAGGACGACCACCGGCTATTGACCAATCTTCATCCCATACAGTATGACTAGGTATAAAATCAGCACCAGTAATAGTATTAACTACAGCCGCCTGCCCATGTTGTGCAAGAGCTCTCCCCACAAATTGATTTGCATTTACACATGTATAGCACCATTATTCATACCATTAGCAGCAGCAAGATTAGCTACAGCAAGGTTATTCCGAATATTTGCACATTTCCAATTTTTTCCTTTGATATGCATTTCAAACCAATCTCTAGCATCATCTTCAAGTAAAGACTCAAAGATTCCATGAATCCTAACACAAGTCCTAGCATTAGCAGCAGGATCAAGTCCAGCAGACTCACACAATTGCCTGAATTCTTGAAGCCAAAGTTCTGGATCCTCACCTGATACTCCTCTAAATTTCTTAGGTGCGTATCCCGCCATTGCTGATTGTATTATTAAAAATTGTTGATTCAAATTTTGAAAACAGATTCTGCGCATTTTGAAGTTGATTTTGCACATTTTGCAGTTGATTTAGCCCATGATTTTGACAGTTTAGAAATTGCTGAATAATAGCAATAGTTCACCTTCTATTCCACTCTGTTTCTCTATTATAGCGTTGCAATAATCTGTGAGCATTTCTTCTACTCTCAAATTGAGTCTGGGTATTAGCCAATTGAATCTGACTGTTAGCTAATTGGGTTTGAGTATTTTGCGCAAGACCTTTCCAATGTTGACGATGATGCAACTCCTGTATATATGCATCCTTAAAGGTACATCTTGTATTTAGTACAGAGGCACGTGTATTATTAAGTTCTTGCCTTAGATATTCTTCACGGTTAAATGCATCATCCAACAAATCTTCAAGTCTAACCTCATTATTATTTTTATCTTCTATAATATTCCGCAATTCATCAGCATACCGGATAATAGCATCAAGACTATTATTTGCAGTATTAAATAAATTATCTATATAAGGGGTAACTGGAATATTTTCTCGATCTAGACATACACGAATATCAGCTATACTATAGGCAATAACTCCCGATGATTTAAAATTTCTCTAATGGAATTGTGGGATTGTGGTGATTGTGGCATATTTTTCTGTTGTCTCCTGGCAAGTTCTTTTATTCGAGCTTTGAGTTGAATATTTAAAGTATCAACTTCAATCAACTGGCGTTCTAGTGCTTGTAGCCCTTCTTCTTTTAGTGATACTGCTTCTAATGCATTCTTAAGTTTTATACGCAATTCTGCATTTTTTTGCCTAAGTTCTTCTATTTCAGATTCATATCCTGAGACTACGCCATACAAGTATTTTATATATTGTTCCTGTGATTGTAATGTACATTCGAACTTTATAATTAACAATGTCTCTTCTGTCTGATCAAACATCGCAGCTTCCACAGATTTTTATAGACCCCACCTTTAATAAACAAATTGAGCAAAATTATATTCTTCAGCGAATCTATTATCAGCCAAGTGAATACTATCATGTCCCGGAAAAACTTTGGGCTAAGGCTCGGGCAGAAGGATATGATATTGATATTTCTGATGTTACAGAATGGTTGCATAAACAGGCTGTATGGAAGTATATTCCACAGGTTTCTTTTAACAAAATTACACAATCAAATATGTATCATCAGGCGGATATTTTATATATGCCTCATGATACTGTAGGTAAAAAGCTATATAAGTATTGCCTAAATATTGTAGATTTTGCTAGCCGTTATAAAGCTTCTGTGCCTTTAGAAGATCACAGCTCTGTGCATATTGCTAAAGCATTTAAAAAGATTTATAGTAAAGCAGATTGTCTACTTATTTGGCCAAAGTTCTACAGGTGGATGGTGGATCAGAATTTGAAGATAAAGTTATGAGCTAATGGGTAAAAAAAATGTACGTATTCGGGTGGGTACTACTCATAAAAATCAGGCCATTGTTGAACGATATAATCAAACTTTAGCAGAGAGGCTTTTTAAAATACAGGATGCAAAGGAACTCCTTACAGAAGGTGTGAATACTGCCTGGGTTGAGAATCTTCCTGATATTGTAAATGAGCTAAATAATTCTAACACTCATCTGCTAAATATGCCACCAGTTGTGGCAATCCAAAAGGATCAGGTATATGCACTACCATCAAAGATTCGCAAAGATAGACTAGTGGGTATAAATGAAATACGGTTACCTGCAGGTTCTTCCGTTAGATACTTACTTGATAGCTCAGATTATAGAGGTAGAAGGCATGCCACAGATCCAATATGGTCTACTAAAATTTTTACAATTGAATCTTTGACGGTTATTGATGGGCAGCCGGTTATGTATCAGTTGACAAATGGACCTAAAAAATACTTTATTCGTGAACAATTATTAATAATTCCTTTAAATACTATGCTACCTCCCACCTCTTTACTTGGTTTACCCTAATAGTTATAACCATGTGCATATGTGGTTATATTATCAGGTGCAATCCATTTTTTATCATCCATCGGGGATAATCCAACTTTTGACATTTCTACTGTATGGATGCTATGTTTGTCTGATCTGATTGCAAGAAAGGTAACCTTATCCATATGATTAGGATCGAAGAGCGCCCTATTATATCGTTCGTGATGGAACTTTTTTTTAACCACTTTTGAGGGTACACCTTTGGCTCCTACTTTGAGAATAGACTTTAAATAATCCTGGAACTTTTGTATTTTCTGCAATCTTTTCCTCTCCTATTGCCTGACGAATAAGATGATCAATAGGATAATCACTGAAATCAAATTAGTCTGCCATATTTATAAGATCTGCGTTGATGTTCTTAGTTTGAATTTGCACAAGGAGTGAATCTGTATCAGTATAGCATAATCGCACTTTATCCTTGTATTTAGCCTTGAGAGTATCATAATAGAATTGATACATGTATAGCTTACTAAGATCGAGAACGCACATGCCAATATATGTGGGGCGGTTAAGATTAACTTCTGTTTTGCGGTGGTGAACTGCCACTAAGTTCTCTGTGAAAATTCTTCAACTCTTAAATGCAGGATCAGAAGCGAGCTTTTTATATTTCTTGGGAT